CACCATACGTTAACTTCTATTAAAAAGGGTTGGTCACAAATTAATCATTACAAATTAAGTAATAAGTTTTTATTTTAATTGATAATTTAAAATTTAAAAGATAATTTATCTATTATTTTTAAGAAGGATCTGTCTCTCCTTATTTTTTGTGGTGTGTACTTTGGGATTAAGCCAAAAATAATATACTAATTAATTATTATCCAGTAATTATTGCTTAGGCCAGATGAAGATGATAAATAAACTGTGAATTAAATAAAACCTCTCTGCGCATCTTTCAAAGAGGGGATAGCATTTTCTTGAAGCTGGGCAACCGGAGCATCCCCTGAATCACTTTCCATGTTAGGCTGTTTTGCAACCGCGCTGGTAGGGGAGATGATAAATACACTATGAATTAAATAAAACCTGTCTGCAGATCTTCTGAAGGAAGGACGACAATGTCTTGAGGCTTCGCAACTGAAGCATCCCCTGAATCACTTCCCATGTTAGGCTGTACCATAACCGCGCTGGCAGGGGAGATGATAAATAAACTATGAATTAAATAAAACCTGTCTGCCGATCTTCCGCAAGAGGGACGATGATTTCTTGAGGCTGGGCAACCGAAGCATCCCCTGAATCACTTTCCATGTTAGGCTGTTTCTTAACCGCGCTGGTAAGGGAGATGATAAATAAATTGTGAATTAAATAAAACCTGTCTGCGGATCTCTCGAAGGAGGGATGATAATTTCTTGAAGCTGGCCAACCGGAGCACCCCCTAAATCACTTTTCACGTTAGGCTGTTTCATAACCGCGCTGGTAGGGGAGATGATAAATAAACTGTGAATTAAATAAAACCTGTCTGCGAATCTTCCGAAGGAGGGACGGCATTTTCTTGAAGCTGGGCAACCGAAGCATCCCCTGAATCACTTTCCATGTTAGGCTGTTTCATAACCGCAATGGTAGGGGAGATGATAAATAAATTATGAATTAAATAAAACCTGTCTGCCGATCTTCCGAATGAGGGACGATAATTTCTTGAAGCTGGGCAATCGAAGCATCCCCTGAATCACTTTCCATGTTAGGCTGTTTCTTAACCGTGCTGGTAGGGGAGATGATAAATAAACTGTGAATTAAATAAAACCTGTCTGCGGATCTCTCGAAAGAGGGATGATAATTTCTTGAAGTTGGCCAACCGGAGCATCCCCTGAATCACTTTTCACGTTAAGCTGTTTCATAACCGCGCTGGTAGGGGAGATGATAAATCAACTGTGAATTAAATAAAACCTGTCTGTGAATCTTCCGAAGGAGAGACGGTCTTTTCTTGAAGCTGGGCAGCCGAAGCATCCCCTGAATCACTTTCCATGTTAGGCTGTTTCATAACCGCAATGGTAGGGGAGGTGATAAATAAACTGTGAATTAAATAAAACCTGTATGCTGATCTTCGGAAGGAGGGACGACAATTTCTTGAAGTTGGGCAACCGAAGTATCCCCTGAATCACTTTCCATGTTAGGCTGTTCCATTACCGCAGTGGGAGAAGCCATTTCCGTCTTGGGCTGTTTCACTATACATAAAACAAATTAAAAAACTTCCTACTAAAAAAAATTAAAAAAAAAAACTTCGACATGTCTCTCCAGTCCCCACGGTCGTCCTCTAGGCTCTATGATCTGTCAGAGGGTTTCGTCTGCCATTGTGCTGTTTTACCTGGTGTACAGGGTCCGTCCTCCGAATGGGGTTTCTCGGCCTTTCTTGTGTTTGTTCCGGGGTTGATGGGGCTGTTTGCTCAGCCTTGAGTGGTTTTGATGGGGAGTGGTTTGGTAGTAACAGCGGGTTAATGGATCGAAGGGCTAGTGAAAAAGAATGAAGTCTGGGAGAACAACTACCAGTTAAGTTCTAAACCTGATGGGTGTTTCATTTATTGGAGTATATGGAGCTTAAAAGGCAAATACCTTTTTTTGTAAATTTAAAAGTTGGGGTAAAGACAACTATAGTCTCCCTACTTTCAATTTTTGTTCATTGTCCTTCTTATATTTACAAATCATTCAAAGTCGTCTCTCAATTTTTCCAATTAAACCGTACTGTTGTCCTCCCTCTAACTATCTATTACATTTACCTTCCTCCCCTAACGCCACGTTAACACAGTTTATAACTTCAATTAACGGAGGCATTTTCAACCGTTAAGGGCAATAGTTTATTACTTTTTTTTGTTTTTGTCAAAATGTGTTTGTGGGCCCACAAATATCAACGTCAACAACCCACAAAATTACTTCTCTCTCCTTTGCGGCTCATTTTCTGGTCCTGGCCACCCCAATGCCCATTGGCCTTTGATGTGCGTCCTCGGCCTGTAC